TGTGCTATCACCCACATTACACAGTATGTGATATCACCCACATTACACAGTATGTGATATCACCCACATTACACAGTATGTGATATCATCCACATTACACAGTATGTGATATCACCCACATTACACAGTATGTGATATCACCCACATTACACAGTATGTGATATCACCCACATTACACAGTATGTGATATTACCAACATTACACAATATGTCATATCACTAACATCACACAGTATGTGATATCACCCATGTTTCACATGTGATATCACCCACATTACACAGTATGTGATATCACCCACATTACACAATATGTGATATCACCCACATTACACAGTATGTGATATCACCCACATTACACAGTATGTGATAATATCACCCACATTACACAGTATGTGATATCGCTCACATTACTCAGTATCTGATATCACCCACATTACACAGTATGTGATATCGCTCACATTACTCAGTATCTGATATCACCCACATTACACAGTATGTGATATCGCTCACATTACTTAGTATTTGATATTGCCCACACTACAGTGTGTGATATAACTCCTATTTTCTAGTGTTCAAGTTTTTATGTGTAATTAAAGATTGTGTTGATGGAGTAAAAACAAATTGTGATAAAATTTCATTCATTGTTTTTGTGCTTTTTTTGCAGCAGATTTTCCTGATCCTTCCTGACATTTTGTTGACTTAGACACAGCATCAACGTTTTCTTAAAAATTCATGTCCAAAGTTCAAAAAGTGAGGAAAGTTGTGTGGAAAGTTGCAAATTGACAGAAGTTATTTGAAAAGTTAAAACTGTTGAAATTCAAAAAATACAGTCCGAAGTTGCAAATGCTAGCGAGAAAGTTAAAAAAGCTGTGTATTAGGTGGAAAAATGTTGGAAACTCTAAAATTACATTGTAAAGATATGAAAGTTAACTGGAAATTCAAAAAATGTGAAGACTGTCAAACAATACATTGCAAAGTAACAGAAGGTAGCTGGAAAGTCAAAAATGTTGAGTTGAAATTTGATAAATATAATACAAAATTACAAATACTAGAAAGTGGATAACAAGTCAAAAAATACATTGCAAAGTTCTGAAAGTTAGCTTAAAAGTAAAAAATAGATTGCAAAATGACTGACGTATACTTTACTTATGTCATTTTGTAGCCAAAAAATACATTGCAAACGTCAGCTAGAAAGTCAAACAAATTTTGCAGAGTAACAACAGTAAGCTTGCAAGTCGAAAAATGTTTATGAACAGCCAACAAATTGGTTGCCGAGTATTTATTAACAAGTTGTACAATCTCACATGTGCAGGTGCATAACAATAATATGATAATTATGAAATT